TACTGGTTGTGTGCATGGCATTTTTATCTAAATACTAACATCTACACTGTCTTTCAGGAACCTAAAGCTGCTTTCTCACTTTTCCTAGACAAGTATTTGAGGTTTGAGGTCACAGAGACATTTCTGCCCTGTGCCTTCATTCCTTTCTTCCTCGTGCTTCCTGCATTTCACTTCTTTAGGACTCCTCTGTGCATAGCATTCCAATCCCCACAAGATAAAGGGCTTCCAGCCTCATGTGTCTGAGAGTCATGAGGGCTGCTTAAAATGTCGCATGCCTTAGGCTCATTCACATCTCCTTGTCTGTGTAATCATTAATAGAACTGAAGGCAATTAACCCATAAGGCATCAAAGGCACCCTCAAAGTGCATTTTGAAAAGGTTTTTGCTTTTTACCAAACATTCTTGACATTTGAAAGTAAAAGTGTGAGTGTTATTTTGGGTAACATAACAGAGTAAGACTGAAAGGTAGACTCCTTCTGTGGAAACAAACGGCCAGTCAACACTTCAAGAAGAACGCTCAAAGGTTTAATAGGTCACGTAAAGGTTGTTGGACTGTCCTCTGCCTCACACTCAAATTAAGAAACAGAATTTATTTTCACGTAAAAGGAAAGTGCTTTAAAATTATTGGACTAGATAAAGGTTATCATTGATTTACTGTTCTTCTAACGAATGTAAACAGAAATAAGCCTCTGTGTCTGTATGTGTGTGTATACATGTGTGTGTGTGTATAGACTTAAGGCCAACACATGTGTTATTTCTGGGGTTTTGTCCAATTTGTTTTTATTATTATTAGTAGTAGTATTTGAAGCAGGATCTCAGTCTGTAGCTCTGGCTGTCCATAGATTCACCATGTAGACCAGGCTGGCCCTGAACTCACATACATCTGCCTGCCTTTGCCTCCCAAGTGCTGGAATTAAAGGCATGTGCCACCATACCAGATGAGACTAGAATCCTCCTCCAGTCTCTGTCTTCCCAGAGCCAGGATTATTTGTGAGCACCATGCCAGACTTCTTCTGGTATGAGTGGTGGGGAATGGAGTCAGAGCCTCAAGCTTGTGTGGCAAGCACCTTACTAACTGATCAGTCTCCCCAGCCCTTAGAAGTAAATTCTTTTTCTTTTCTTTCTCCTTTTAATCTCTCAGATCTGAGAACCAAACTCAGAGCTTTGTACTTTCTAGGCAAGCACTCTACCACTGATCAAAATTCACAGCCCCTATAAATTCATATATATGTATGTATAAGTACATGTTTATGTATACAAATGTATGCTACATATATATGTATGTATATATATGTAATTTTCAACATATATATGTTGAAAAATTATGTAGAGCAAATTTTCTTACCAAAGTTTATACAAGAGGTGTAGTGGTTGAACAGTTTGTCCCTCAGGTTCACAGCCAAACCTATGGAGGAAACCTTATTTGGGACTAGGGTATTTTCAGGTGTAATTAATAAAGGCCCTATTGGACTCATGTGGGTGGTAATCCAGTGACTGATGTCCCTATAATCTTGAGAAATTGTGAGCATAAAAAGATACATGAAGAAAAAAATGCCACAAGAAAAGAGAGGTAGCCACCAGAGTGACGCATCTGAAAGCCAACGAATACCTTTGATTTGTAGGGCTCACCGGGAGCTAGGAAGTGGAAGAAAGGAGTCCCTTCAGAATTATGACCCTACGGACACCTTCGTTCAGATTTCTAGCCCCCAGAATTGTCAGAGTCTAAACCAAGCCCAGTGGGCTACCCCCGAAATACAGCACTTGGGAAGTGGAGGCAGGAACTCCTGATCCTGAGCCAACCTGAGCTACGTGAGACTCTGTTCAAGAAAACCTCCACAACGACAACGCTTTGTAAATAAGCTACCCACCCAGTGATTATTATCTCGGTTAAAGTAAAGTAATCCAGGAAGCATACAGAAAAGTTATGTGAGCTAATATTGTACTTCAAAACACTTTGTTAGTCTCCTCTGAGCCCCATCTAGGAATCCAAGTTGCATGAGTGAAATAGAACTAACCCTCATTAGTAGAAATTCATATAATTGCCACACATTCATTCAAACTGAAAAGTAGAGAGGAAAAACCCTCTATATTTATTATAAGCATAGTAACAATTATTGTAACTTTGTGTTTGGTTTGTGAAACAGTCTCACTAGCTGAGGCTATCCTTGAACTCTTGATCCTCCTGCCTTCATCTCCCAAGTACTAGGACTACAGGCATTTGCCAGCATAGCTGCTGTTCATGACTTAAATTTTTGTTTGTTTATTTGTTTGTTTAGTCTGAATGTGTGTTGCGCACATTCGAATTCCCACTCATGCCTCATCTCACAGACCCTCTGATCCTGTATCTCTATCGACTTTGTCCTGGTAGTGAAGAATTAATTACTCTTTGTATTTGTTGTGTAGGTGTCTAAGCAAAAGCTCAGTTTAGAGTTGATAGTTTTGCCTAAGCCTCATATGGAATTGCTAAGATCTTTTAGGAGGATAGTCATACTCAATAACATTTTATTTTATTATTTATTTGATTTTGCTTTTGTGAGATTGGATCTCACTATGTTGCCCAAGCCAGCCTAGAAATTCTGGGCTCAATGATGCTTCTGCCTCAGCTTCCTGGAGTCAATAGACTACAAGAGCTTAACAATACACTTGCCCTAACAGCCTTTATTTACCTTTTTTTCTCCTATGCTTAGAATTGAACCTCATGCATGGTAAGTACATGTTTTCTTTCCTAGCCACACCCCTAGCTTCAAAAGCATTTAAAATTTGATCTTGTTGGACACTGCCTCAATCCTACCATATCATCTGATAAATGGGTGTATCTACCTCCTAGGTAGATACCAACTTCGTATTTACAAAGTATTTAAAAATCTTCCTGGCACACATATACGATACTAATCATTGCACTCATCTCTTTCCTTTGTAGTTTTTTTTTTTTTTTTAGATGCTTTGTAGTTCTAGTTGGCCTGGTGTTCACTAAGAGGCAATTCTCCTGATTAAGTATGCCATTGCTAAAATTACATGTGTGAGCTACTCACTCCTCTCTCTTTCTCTCTCTCTCTCTCATAAGGATTGGAACTTATTTCTCGGAAGTGAAGTGTATCTGTTCCATTTTCCTATCTGCAGTACCTAATACTGTTTGGCTCATAGTAGATGTCAGCAAATATATTAACCTATGAAGTAGTATCTAGCAGACAGAAATCCCATCTCTGACCACAAAGAAAGGTGGTGGATGGAAAAACAGATATGAATACCTAAACATAGACATTTGAAACTGGCAAGAGGCAAAATGGCCAAGAATAGAGCATGGAAAGAAAATACATGAACACTGGGGAAAAGGTGTCTGGCAGGAGATGAAAGGACAAAGAAAAGGAACTGTAGGGCTATGAAGATGGCTTAGCAGGTTAAAGCATTTTCAGACAAGCCTGCCGCCTGAGTTCAATACCTGGAAAACACATGGTGAAGGAGAGACCCAACTCCCACAAAGCTGTACTCTGACCTCTGTACCTGCACCATGAAACACATGCACACAAACACACCAAATAGGGCTGGAGAGATGGTTCAGAGGTTAAGAGCACTGGCTGCTCTTCCAAGTGGTCCTGAGTTCAATTCCCAGTAACCACATGGTGGCTCACAACTGTCTATGAGATCTGGTATTCTCTTCTGGTATGAAGACAAACACACCTAATACATAAATAAATAGTTGTTACTACTGGGCCACGAAAAAGAAAGTTCAAGGGAATTAAAGTTGGTCCAGGATAGGCTTTCTTACAGGGAGTATATGAGACATTTGTTTGTGGTTAGGAAGCAGCTGCCTCTGAGGTTAGCTTTTCTTTTTTTCAAGTCTCTGAGGAAGGAAGTGACAGTCATTGTGAAATCGTTTTCTAGCACTTATCAGGATTTCAATTGTGGGTCCCTGGCTGCCTAGGCAAGTCAAAGAAGTCGGGAAGTGTGGAAATGGTAAAGTCTAGGTCTCAGAAATTCTGCTTCTCTAGAGCATTGTAAGGAAGTGATATCTTCAATTACCATGTGCAATAGAAAAATTCAAATAAAATGTTCATCGTGTCCATTATTTTGTTCAGGCTCACAAAACAGGTTTTGTAATACTTTTGCCAGACAGACAAATTATCACAAGTTTTTGTTTGTTTTTAATCTGAAATCTCTCCTTCACTACACTGAATCTCAGTATAGTTCTGCCACCCACGGAGACTGACTGACCAGTTCTCCGAGTTTCTCCTGATGGTTCTTGGTTATTAACGCTGACTCTACTCCTCTCTAATAGGGGGAAAGGGACTCTACCAATATTTGGAAAAGGAGCTTTTAAAAAAATAGTAGGTAGGTATCATTTTTGCATTCAAAAGATATATGAGGAACTGAAAACTCCTACATAGTCAGATGGGTTCAGAGGAATCTACTAAGCAAGATAAAAATAATTTCTTTCTCGCATATGGTCTTCTGGGGGCTTTTCTTATCATTTAGATAAGTGTAGGCAGCTGCTGGAAGATCGAATCCTGTATTTTATAAATGGACGAGATCGGTGTAAGTCTCTACTATAGGATTTATCTTAAGTCGCTCTCCAATCCGGGGCTCAAATATTTTCAGGGGCCTAAGAACAAAAAGGATGCGTGTGTGTAGAGAAGACGAGCCTGGAAGCCCACCGCAGCTCTCGGATCGTACTATAATGTGTCCATTTCTTTCATGCTGCTTTCTCCAAGAAAAGGTGGTGAACTGTTTCTCTGGAAAATAGAGATGACTGGTAACCTGGCTCGGAGAATAACAGAGAGAAAAGATTCTGATGGACTCAAAAGCCAAACACGCCCAACACTGATGATTTCCGAACACTCCGGGTTAGAAATCACAACGCCGGAACAATGATGGCGACTCTGCACCAGGACTCGCCCGAGCCCTATAGACTCTGCACTGCGGCAGCCCGGCAGAGACAGCACCCCATTGGTCCACTGAGATGAAGTCATCTTGGGGGCGGGACTCAGCGGTGGCGTGGGGGCGGAGCCTTGCTTGCGTACGCTGGTCGGAACTCTGCTCTGCTAGAGCCGGGGGCTTTGCTGCGGCGGCTGCGGTCGCGGCGGCCGTGCGGGACTGAGGTGAGCGAGGGTTGTAGAAACAGCGCTTCCCGGAACGGCCTTTGAGGGGACGTGGGGCATACTCCAGTACCTCAGCCGCTTGTCAGGAGAATTAGCCGGGATCTTAGGTCTCTGAGAGAAGTATGGGGGGCTCAGCCCCCTCTCCGGACACTCTTCCTGTGGGCAGAGGAACTGGAGGGTCACTACCCTGGGAGGACCCGGGAGGGGTGAAGCGACAGGACAGAGGAGATCGAATAGGCAGGGGGATCCGAGGGGATTTCTTAAAGGGTCTTACAATTTGGGGATGTCTCCCTTAGCCAGGAGACAGGTTATGCCTGGCCCAGACAATTTCTGCTTTCTCACTGTGCAGCCCAGAATTGAAGTAGCTGAACGACAAATGCTCCCTGCTAAGGAAGGGAGGATTAGAAAAGCCGAGGCAGAGTCCTCCAGGGGAGGACGTTGGGTTTGGATCTCTCCTTTTGCAGAATTACTCTTTCTTCGTTTTTCATTTCGCGACCCCCGGAAACCGCTTTTCCAAATTCGATGTGTGTTTGGTTTCAGTGGGGGTTAAAGACAGTCTTAGAGAGAGAGGCCTGTAATCATGAAGGAACAGGAGGAGGGCGGTAACTCGTTAGAGCCTGTCATCTCTGGCAGCGCCTGGTCTATGCCGATCAGACATGATTTCATTTATTTTGAGGTTGTGGCATCTGTCCTTGTTCGAGGTGGAGAGGGCTGGGACTAGCTGATGTGGGTGATTGAGATTCTTAAGTCAACCCACATAATCTCTTGAGAAATGCTTGCTTTAGTCGAGTGTGTTGTTTTGCTGTCCTCGAACACCAGATGCAGAAAGGATTTGTTCGGGTTCCTCAAAATGTCTTCCTGCCTTCCCCTAAGAGCAAATCTTCTCCGAGATGTCAGTCTCACCTGTTATTTAACATGGAATATGCATGACCTTACGACATTTAAAAGTAATTTGGGGTATGCTCTGCTGAGGTATGATATTGCAGATCGTTGTTGTGCGTGAGCTGAACGTAAGTTTATCGAGAATAAAAATTGCAATTTCAGTACCACTGATAGCGCCAGTTGCCGACCTGAACGGAAACCTTTCTGGCTCATAGGAGACACGTGACAGATGGAAGAAGGCAGTTGTCTTGTGGATGGGGATGAGTGGTAGAAAGCTACGAGGCGGAAAGCTTTTCAAACTCTGGCTTGTTAAAAGTGCTTTGTCATTACCGACGTGTTCTGTCATGCCTAAATTTAAATTGACTGGACTCTGTGGGCTCCTTTGTCTTTTTTTTTTTTTCTTTATTAATTACACTTTATTCACTTTGTATCCCCCCTGTGGTTCCCTCCCTCCTCCCGTCCCAATCCTTCCCTTCCTCCACCCTCTGCATGCATGCCCCTCCCCAAGTCCACTAATAGGGGAGGACTTCTTTTCCTTCCTTCTGATCTTAGTCAATTAGGTCTCATCAGGAGTGGCTGCGTTGTCTTCTTCTGTGGTCTGGTAATGCTGCTTCCCCCTCAGGGGGAGGTAATTAAAGAGCAGGCCAATCAGTTCATGTCAGAGATAGTCCCTGTTCTTATTACAATGGAATCCACTTGGATACTGAACTGCCATGGGCTACATCTGTGCAGGGGGTCTTAGGTTATCTCTGTGCTTAGTCCTTGGTTGGAATAGCAGAAGTGGGAAACAGTAAGATCTGGAGAGGACAGGAACTCCACAAGGAGAGCAACAGAACCAAAAAATCTGAGCACAGGGGTCTTTCCTGAGACTCCTTTGTCTTTTTGAAATGATGTTTATATGTTGGGATTCCTTAAAAGAGGAATGCTGTTAACAGGACTTTGGAAGCTTGATCCCTTTAACCATAGCTCTAAAATAGTGCTAGGGATTTTAGATGTTGGAAGGGGGCATTGCTGGTTGAGGAGGGGTAGCTAGTCACCTCTTTTATGGAAGAGGATAATTAAAATCTCTTTTGTTGTTTCCTTCTCACAAAACAACCCCAAAATGAAACAGCAAAGAGGATGGTTTTTAGCAAGAAAATTGTGTCAACTGTGGAAAAACAAACAGTAACAACAAAAAGCTCTGGGCATGTTGATGTATTCCTGTACTCCCAGCACTAAAGAGGTGGAGGCAAGGAGAATCAGGAGTTCAAGGCCATCCTCTACTATATAGAGTTTGAGGCTGCTGTGGGCTATATAAGATCCTGTCTCAAACAAAATAAAACCAACCTTACCCTCCAACCACTCCCAGGTACTGTGAATGTCACTATTCTACATTAAAGATCTTTGGGGTCGTTAATCTGCATATATTCATTTGTTCCCCAAAATACCGTCAATCAATCCTGATGTAGGCTACAAAGGAAGTGACTCTTCCTCTAGGCTCTGTAGTCTGGGATTTAATAACTGCTTTTTGCAATCTCTCTGTTGCACCTTTCTAGGACTTCTCACAGGGTGTGCAAGAAATGCATAGCCTCACCTAGGGTATTGTTTGTTCTCAGTCCTGTGGGTTAATCCTCGAGCCATGTCATTTTCTCTCTTGCCTCAGATTGGAGCGAACCACAAATACTTATCGATCACTGTCTGCCACCATGGGGGAGCTTTTCCGGAGTGAGGAGATGACGCTGGCCCAGCTTTTTCTACAGTCAGAGGCTGCTTATTGTTGTGTCAGTGAATTAGGAGAACTTGGAAAGGTTCAATTTCGTGATGTAAGTACAATCGAGGCTGCTTTTTGAGCACCATCAAATTGTTTTGTTTATATTGAATGGCTTTATCAGGTTTTGTGTGTTTTTGTTTTTTGTTTTTTGTTTTTTGTTTCTCAAAGTAACAGCACAGTGCTGGCTTAGTACTGGTAGATGCAAGCTTCAAGCTGTCTTTTGTGTTTCTAGAGATAGAAATGGTTTGGCCAACCCTTCTAAGCTTTTTGCAAATTCTTAGATGGTGATCCTAAACTTGGCATCCTTGTAATGCTAGCACTTGGGAGGTACAGGCAAGAAGGTGAGGAGCCTGAGCTATAGAGTGAGACCTTGTCTTGAAGAAGGAGGAGAAGGAGAAGAAGGAGCAGCAACACAAAAAAACAAACAAATAAACAAACAAAAAACAAAAACCAAAGCATGATGGGAAATGGCCCGCCATCCCTGCACTTGGGAGGTAGGTGAGGAGTATTATGAATTCAAGGTCATTCTTGGCTACATAATAAGTTAGTTTGAGGCCAGTCCGAGCTGCCTGAGACCTTGTCATATACTAATAATTCATTGTTTTTGGATACATGGAAAGATTATCAAAACAGAAAGGACAGTCTAAGATTTGTTTTTTTTTTTTTAAATCTGCTCTTGAATCTTATAATCTGAGCGAGAAGACGCTGTGCACACAGGACTGAAGGGTGTGGGTATTAGGAAGGGTGTCCCTGACTCAGATCCTGCAATCTCAGAGTTCCAGGTATTTTTCATAGCATTCGTAATCGTCATGATTCCACATTTATCAATGGGAGGAGTTGATTAGGGTCCCTCCTCACAATGATCTAAGCCCCATGAAGACAAGGATGTTCTCTTGTTCTTACTCATTGTTGTATCTTTAGTGCCTATACAAGGTATTCGATCATGGTTGGTTGGAATGAATGGGTGAATTAAACAAGAATGATTAGAAATGGCTAGGGTTGACTAATAGAGGTCCTGGGGTTGGCAAGCTCTTGAGAAGTTCTCTGGTACTGCTGTGTACAGTGTGTTCTCTGTGTATTCAGTAAACTTGTCTTTTCCTTTAAAAACTAACCAAACAAACAAAAAACAAAGCCAGGCGTGATGGTTCACATCTCAAATCCCAGGAGGCTAACCATGAATTTGGGGCCAACATAGTCTACGTAGTGAGTTCTAGGCCAGCCACTGCTACATAGTCATTATAACAAGAGGCTATTGTGGCATTGGGGAAGCAGCTTAGCTGATAAAGCGCTGGTCCCATGGCAACCTTCACTGAGTCCCTCGCTCTAAAAAGGTGGCTCTGGTATGTGGCACACGTTTGCAATTCCAGCAGAAGGCAAGCTGAGACATGTGAATCCTTGGAGCTGTTTAGTCAGATAGCCCAGCCTCATCAGTGAGGCTCACGACCGCTGAGAGATCCTGTCTCAAAATGCAAAACAATACAAACCATGGCAGATGGCTCCTGAGGCAGGACATACAAGGTTGAGCTCTGGCATTCATGTGTAGACACATAGACGCCCACATACACGCGCATACATACACATAAACGCCCCACAGAGGCGCCATCAAGTGTCCTATACATCTTTAACATTTTGGATGTTGCCTCTGTCATGTTACAAGTTTATCAATAGGTCTGTACCCAGACATGAAGAAATACACTAATCTTACAGGTGTGGGATGAGCTCTTGGTTTATTCTGCGTTTTCTGTGTACTTCTGCCTAGTTGGTATCCTTCTGTCTGCTTGTGGACAGGGGCTTTCCTCTTCTGTGAACTGCGTGTTCCTTTCCTCTGCCTTTAGCTATCGGTGGGAGAGCTTTGACTCTTTGCTTTGACTTTTGCTTTATTGACTTGTGAGGTTTGTAAAATTTACCCATGTATTCTAGGTGCTCTCCCAGTCTCTCTTCTCTTTCTTTTCTTCCACTTTCTGCCCACCCCTCTTCTTTTTATGACAAGGCCTTGCTTTGTAGAACCAACTGTCCTGTAACTCACTTGATAGCCAGGCTGGCTTTGTCCTTTCTGCCTATGCCTCCCCAGTGCTGGGATTTCAGGGGTGCGTACTATGCTGGTCTTGTTCTATTATTTATGTGTGTATGTCTGTGTGCTTGTTTGTATATACTTGTATGTACACATGTGTACACATCCATGTAGAAGTCAGAGGTTAATATCAGGGGTATTCCTCAGTGCCTTTTAAAAAATTTATTTAATTATTTTATTTATTTCTTTATTCATTTTCGAGATAAGATTTCTCTGTGTATCCCTGGCTGTCCCAGAACTTGCTCTGTAGACCAGGCTGGCTTCAAACTCACAGAGCTCCTCCTGCCTCTGCCTCCTAGGTGCCGAGGTTAAAGGCGTACTGGGATTAAAGTGCTGCCTGGCTTCCACCTTAGTTTTTGAGACATGGTTTTCCCACTGAACCAAGAGCTTGTCCCACTTTGTTACACGGGTTCTAGGGATTGAACTCACGCCCTCATGTTCCCATGACAGGCGCTTTGCTGACTGAGCCATGTCTCAGCCCTGTTCTATTATTAAAGATAAATTTGATCACTCAATTAAGGTATTATTTCTTAGATTTCTCCAATGTAAAAGTATCTTATCTCCTGTGTAATTAATAAGTCATCTGGGGTGGTACTTCTGAAAGCTGTGTGACTATCCAGTTTCCCAGAACTGTTTTACCCAATAGATTTTTTAAATGTTTGTTGTTGTTATTATTATTATATAGACTTTGGGCTTTTTGTTGTTATTTTTGTTTACTGGGCTTTTGTTCTGTTTTGTTTTGAGACAGAGTCTCCCTATGTAGCTCTGGCCATTCTGAACTCCATATGTAGATGAGGCTGGCATCTGCCTCTACCTTCCGAGTACTGGGATTAAAGATGTGCAGCACTCTAGCAGCCTACTTACTATTTTAAAAATATTTTTAAAATCATTTAAAATTATGTGTACTTGTATGTGTTTGCATGTGGGTATGCACGAGTGAATTCAGGTACCTGAGGAAGCCAGATTCCCTCTGGAGCTGAAATTACATACAGTTGTGAGCCACCATGTATGTGGGAGCTGGAAATTGAACAGCCTCCTCTGGAAGAGCCACAAATATTCTTAGCTGCTGAGGCTAAGTTTCAATGTAGAAAAAAAAAATTTTTTTTCCTTTACATCTTGTGGGTTTTTTACATCTTGTGGGTTTTTGTACACTTCTTGATTTCTTAACCTTTCAGTACTTGGGAGGCAAAAGCAGAAGGCTAGCCAGCTCAGGGATATCCTGGGCTATAACACACTGTATTGTTGCCTTTTTTAACTGCTGTGACTGAGTGGGCAGGGTAAAATGCTAGCACTTGGAAAGTGGAGATAGGAGGATCGGGAGTTCAAGGTCATCCTCAGCTACACACTGAGTTCAAATCTATCTTGGCTGTATATTAGACCTTATCTTAAAAGTTCAAACAGAGGGAGTCCAGGACAGCCAAGGCTACACAGAGAAACCCTGTCTGGAAAAAAACAAACAAAACTCAGATGGAGGCTAAGAGTACTTGCTGTCCTTTCGGGGGACCTGTGTTCAGTTTGCAACACCCACATCAGGCTCTTCAGCTCCTGTTATTATCGCTCTTGAGGAAGGTGCTACCATACCATTTATTTATTCATTCCCTCATGTGTGTGTTCATGTATGTATTTATTCTTGGTGCTTAGAATTGAAATTAGGTCCTCATGTGTGTTAGGCCAGTGCTCTGCCAATGAGCCATTTTCAGCCCTTTTTATTTTGAGATAGGGTCTCACTAAATTGTCCAGGCTGGGCCCTAACTTTGCTGCAGCCCTGGCTGCCTTTGAACTTAGGATCCTGGTTTGGCCTCTTGAATAACTGGGATCATAAAGCAAGTACCTGGGTTTACATTAGTTCTTATTTTAAGTTTTATTTATTGCTATTTGTGGTGGTAGTGGGGAGGGGGGGAGAGATGCCTGTGGCAGTCAGAGGACAGCTTTTTGGAATTGATGCTGCCCTCTAAGCTTTATGTAGGTTCTAAGGGCTGAACTCACATCATCAAGCTTGCAGTGTCCTCGGAGCAAGCACTTTTACACACTGAGCTATCTTGCCAACCCTGCAGTAGTTGAACATTTTATTTCTGGACTGGAGAGATAGCTCAGTGGTTAAAGCACTTGCTGCTCTTCCCGAGGAGCCATGTTTGGTTGCCAGTTTCACATCACTCCAGTTGTGTGGAGCCAGATGTTCTCTTCTCCATGGGTACCTAAACACACACACACAGAGAGAGAGAGACATATTCCTGGAGTGAGCAAGGTGGCTCAGCAGGTGATGGTACTTCTTGTCAAGCCTGACAAGCTGAATTCCATCCCGGAACCGGCATGGTGGAAGGAGCAAATCAATTCCTGCAACTTCCCCTCTCACCTCACATGTGCACTGTGGTAGACATGCACCCACCCACATGCACACACACTCACACAGACACCAAGTACATAAATAAATGTACAAAACAAGTATCCCTAATAGCTCAAACTTTTTAACCCTTTGATGAGCTTCTTGCCATTTCCTCCTTACCCCCTTCTGTCTATCTGAAAATTTGTGACCTTTGACCTTCACCTGCCTGTACCCATCACTCCTCCTCTGTCTCCCTCTCTGGTAGCCAGTTAGTAGCCATCTCAATACTTCTATGAATTCAGCTGTCTAGAATTCTGCATGTAGGGCAGGAGAGGTGGCTCTGAGGTTAAGAGCACTGGCTACTCTTCCAGAGGGCCCAGGTTTGACTCTCAGCACCCACAGAGCAGCTTACAACAGTCCCTAATTCCAGGACCAGAGGACCTGACCCCCTCTTCTGGCCTCCTAGGCACCTCGTATGCACATGGTGCATAGACATACATGTAGACCCGCCACCTATACGCAGACAAATCTTTATCTTTTACATTTTTATTTATTTACTCTTACTTTATGTGCACTGGTGTTTTGCTTCCATGCATATCTGTGTGAAGGTATCAGATCCCATGGAGCTAGAGCCACAGACAGTTGTGAGCTGCGTTGTGGGTGCTGGGAATGGAGCCAGGGTCCTCTGAAAGATCAGCCAGTGCTCTTAACCCCTAAGCCAACTCTCCAGCCCCCCAGGGGAAAAAAATGCAATAACTAACAAAATGAAACTGTACGTGTAGGTAGGATGATGTGTGCCTGGTGTGTTTCAGTTAGTATAATGCCCCATGTTTTCTTTGTTCATGCAGCTCTTAGTAGGTTGAGTCTATATGTTAGTTACTGGGAATAGCCCTGCATATTGACTTCAGTTTTTCTGACTGTGTAGCCAGAACTAGGATTGCTGGATTGTATGAGTTCTCCCCACTCCCTGCTAGGGCAACACCAAGGTGTCCGCGTGCTAGGTAGTACCAGTCACCCACATCCCCGTCTCTTTGGAGTCGTTGTTTTGTTTTGTTTTTAAGGTTTTTAGTTTGTTTGTTTGTTTGTTTTTAGAGGAACTACCCTGATTCTCATATGACTGTACTAATGTTTCCTATCAAAAACACACAACTGTTCTCTTTTGTTGACACCCAGATCAATTCAAACCTCTCATCTTTTCACACAGTGTCTTGCTGTGTAGCCCAGGCTGGCCTAGAGCTGGCTTTGCTCTCTGGGCTGGCTTTGAACTCTCAATCGCCCCATGCCCAGCTCCCATCTTTTTCATGCAAGTCACTCAATCAGGTGTGAGGTGATACTCCTCATGGCTATGGTACATGAATGAAATTAGACTGTCATCAGAAGGTGACAACGTGGGACAGAAGAACAGCCTTTGCCTTCTGTCTCCTTTGCTTGGGAAGAAAGAGAGAGGAAACCAAGACAGTTTCTGGCGTAGCTGCCTAAGCTGCAGGTGGTGGGAAGAGAGGGAGCTCGCTGCTCCCTTCAGATACGCATCCACCACAGCAGCAAAGGAGGCTCTTGGCTTTAGCTTACGTGACTTTCCAAAGCCCTTTATGTGGATCTGTGGACAGTTTTGATTAGAGGTGATTATTCACTGGCATAAAATTAAGTTTCCACAAGCTGGAGAGATGGCTCAGAGGTTAAGCGCACTGGCTATTCTTCTAAAGGTCCTGAGTTCAATTCCCAGCAACCTCATAGTGGCTCACAATCATCTGTAATGAGATCTGGTACCCTCTTCTGGCTTTCGGGCACACATGCAGTACAGAATACTGTATAAATAATAAATAAATAATTTTTTAAAAATAATTAAGTTTCCACTTATGGGATATATTGCTCATAGAACAAGACGTAGACTCAGTGTTTAAAGTTTGCTGTTATGTTTTTGTTTTTCAGTTAAATCCAGATGTGAATGTTTTCCAGAGGAAATTTGTGAATGAAGTTAGAAGATGTGAAGAAATGGATCGAAAGCTTCGTATGTGCGATTTGGTCTTTTTTGACATTCCTATAATGAGTCATTTGTCTTAAATTTAGGGTCATTAGTCCTCTCAGTAAAGGAATAAAATTCTATAATAGGAAAAGGAGGGGGTAGCTGGAGAGATGGCTCAGTAGTTAATGGCTGCTCTTCCAGAGGACCCAGCTTCTATTGCCAGCACACATATGACAGCTCATAGCTGTCTGTAACTCCTGTTCTAGAGGATCTGACTGCCTCACACATGTAGGCAAAACACAAATGTACATAAAATTAAAAAATATATATTATTAAAAAAAGAAAGAAAGAAAAAGGAGAGATGATCAGAGAGACTGTTCAACAGGTAAAAGCACTTGCCATGCAAGCCTGGAGATCAGAATGCAGTTTCTGGAACCTGAGTCAAAAGCCAGCTGTGGCTGCCAGCAGGAGTCTAGTTACGATCCAGCCTGTTGTCCCTTTGCAGTGTATTCAGTAAGCAAGAACAGATACCCAGGAGCCAGAGTGGTGGTAACATCCGAAGCCTCAGCATCCCTACAGGGGCGTGGGAGGGGGAGACTCGCAGGCCAGCTAGCCTGGAGCACACAGTGCAGCAGAAGCAAGAAGCGGGGTGGAAGTGGAGAACCAACTCCCCAGAGCTGTCCTCTGAGGGCCACATGAGCTCCCACACTCACACATACATGTACACATGCACACACACACACATACACAATAAATAAATCTGTCAAAAGATTTGAAAAAGGAGGGGGGAAAATCTGCAACCATGACTTTAAGATGGACTTCATGTATATAAATAGATTTTATGGAGTTTGAGCTAGGTAATGCTTAAGGGAAATCTTGTTCAAACAACAAGCTGAAAATGTTTTTTTTTGTTGTTGTTGTTTTTTATTGGATTTTTTTTTTTTCTTTTACTCTTTAACGTTTTGTAGTCCAGGCCGGCCTGGAACTCAATGTAGGCGAGGGTGGCCTTGAACCAGAGATCCGCCTGCCTCTGCCTCCCAAATGCTGGGATTAAAGGCCACCACAGCTCAGCCGGATTCTCATGGGAGCTTAAGAGCAGAACTGTGTTATAGAACCCTAAAAGACAGGACTCAGAATACTATCACATTTAGATGCCAGCTGAGCAGTTTATGGAAAGTGTAAGATTCACTAAGCCTTTACGGGCTGAGGTGCTAATGAGATTGCCCACGCCCTTAAGGTGTGCTGCCGTGCCCCTCTCATCCCAGCACTCAGAGGCTTACAATCCCTGTCAGTTTCATACCAGCTTGGACTACATAGGCACTGTCTCAAAAAACTAAATAAATAAAGGATGGCAGGTGTTCCCTCATGTAAGGACTAAAGAGCCTGTGATTTCCTTGACATACCTGAGAAGATAAGCAGTCAGAATGGAGTCAGCATTTGAAACTAGGTCATTCTGTCTCCAGCCAAACCCATGATCTTGCCACTCTACCCAGCTGATAGGTAAATTGGTCCCTAGTCAAAAAAAAAAAAAAAAAAAAAAAAAAAAAAGTCAGTTAGTTGTCATGGAAATGCTTTTCTCTTTCAATGTTTTGGGTCCTTTCATGCTTAATTTTTGGCTGTTGATTTTTAAAAAAACCAAATTGTTTCTACATTAAATGACTGTTTTTGCCCTGACCTAGAATTCTCTCACTTGTGTTATGTGTCAAGTGCTCTGTTAAGGCACTGTATTCTTCTGAGTCTTTTTTTTTTAAGCATGGATTTCTTTTTTTTTTTTTTAATATTTATTTATTATTTATACAACATTCTGCCTGCATACCAGATCTTACTATAGATGGTTATGAGCCATCATGTGGTTGCTGGGAATTGAACTCAGGACCTATGGAAGAATAGCAACTGTTCTTAACCTCTGAGCTATCTCTCCAGCCCTCTTCTGAGTCTTGATTGGCCAATAATGCTTGCAAGAGAGCTTGTCATCCCTGAAGGAACCGCATCACATAGGGTGAAGAGTGAAGTGGCTGCCAGCCCCGTTCAAATTGGTAGAAAGCTGACCGGGCTGGACATACCTGTAATCACGGGTAATTCAAGGCATTTCTCAAAACAATCGCAAAGACCACAAGAGAGAAAGGAGACGGCCATAGGCTTAACCGCTCTCCGCCGGATAGAATCAGAGTGTGTAAAGTACAAGAAAAAAATGGAGAAAAGAGCTGCTGCTTTTGTTTCTCAGTTCTCAGGGTAAGGCCTTTCCAGACAGGTGTTAGATCTGTGTGTGTGTGTGTGTGTGTGTGTGTATGTGTGTGTGTGTATGTGTCTGTGTGTGTGTGTGTGTATATGCGCGTGCGTTTTCTCGGCTAACGGGAATCCCAGGGACGTCTATCACATGCAATGCTCTGGCTCTGTTATTTTAGGATTTGTTGAGAAAGAGATAAGGAAAGCCAACATCCCAATTATGGACACTGGTGAGAACCCGGAGGTACCCTTCCCCCGGGACATGATCGACTTAGAGGTAAGCAGCTCTCACATAGCTTTCTGCTCACATGCTGGTGTCGCCTTCCTGAGTGGCTGGCATAGAGGGATTCCTGCCAGCCTTGTGAGCACTGTCTTTTATTGTAAGGTTTTTCTAGGTATCTCACACAGAGATAACATAATATACCACCAAATTACCAAATTAATGCTTATTGCTTACTAAGCCTTTGTTAGAAAATGACCCTCACATAGTCTATGGGCTTTTAATACCTTTGAGTGTCTGAATTCTTTCAACAAACTCCCAGAGTGTACAATGGAATATGTACACATACAAAGGCTCATTTAAGCCAAATGTTTTGCTCAAAGTTGCTCTCATCGCAACATTTGCTTGGTAGCCGCAGCTAATTCATCACCATGGCAACAGTTCTGGGGCACAAATTGAGTTAGTGTCTTTTAGAGCAGCACAGTGAGCTGAATTGGAATTAACCATGTTCCTTCTTTCTTTTTTTTTTCTTCCTTCCTTCCTTCTTTCTTTCCTTCCTCCCTTCCTTCCTTCCTTCCATTTTTTTCTTTTGTTTAAACCCTAGGCCAATTTCGAGAAGATTGAAAATGAACTGAAGGAAATCAACACAAACCAGGAAGCTCTGAAGAGAAACTTTCTGGAACTGACCGAATTAAAATTTATACTTCGCAAAACTCAGCAGTTTTTTGATGAGGTCAGACTATTGTTTTTTCTAGTACTTGAGCAGCTGGTGTACCTGCACAAGTGGGCCATATTTTTAGTCCAGTAATTATTTTAATCTGCTAGTCTGGAAGCAGTGCCATTTTGCACCCTGTTTTAGTTAAAGAATCTCAGATTACGTTCCATTTTCCATGTAGTACACGGAAAGCCATGATTTCATATATTTTCACATTTTCTGCAAACTGTCATCTCAAGGTGGGGGGAGAGGAACCCTGAAGCTGATGTATAAGGATGGTTGGTTGAAATGTTTGCATGATACCTCTGAGTTTTGTGTTATGAGGTAAGTATAGTGTTTGTGAAGCTGAAGAAGCAAGTGTCTGGTTACGCCCAAAATTACAGTGAGGCTTCAGTCTCCAGACCTTCAGTCATCAAATTATTTTGCTCACCAACCTTTGGCAATTATCTTCGGCACTGTATGTAGACCTCATGCCACACTTTTTTTCTGAGTTTTCATTGTGTCTTATGGAAATATTGGTGTGATGCCTAGTTAGCATTTTTTCCATCGACACGGTTTATTACTTATGAGGAAAAAAATGTTATTGAGTTCCCTGGTTAAACACGAAGATACTGAGTTGCTGAGTGACAGCTTGCCAAGGAGACCCCCTTGAAACGAGTTAGCTCAGCCTTGTAGAAGGCTTCCTTCTCCTAATTAATCTTGGAAGGAGCATCAGCTGTGGTTCTTCCGGTGGCCTGAAATGTCGATAGCGCTCTTTCTAACAGGTCCCTGCCAAACACTAGACACTTCAGACATCACCCTAGTTACTATGTTTCACCCATAAACTTTATTTCCTTTGCTTGACAAAAAAAAAAAAAAAAAAGCAAAACAACAACAAAAAAAAAACTTGACAAAGGTTTAAGATATAAAGGATCCGTTTTTGTCAGCATCTGATATGTTCTCAGTTTTGCTTTAAATGGGCCTCACCCCAGAAGAGACCAGCCCTCCACAGCAGTCGAGGCGTCCAGCCAGCACCAACAGCCCTGTGAGAAATAGGAACGACCAGTCCCACCCAGTTCCCACTGCAGACCTACTGAGTTAGAAACTGGGGGTGGGGGCGGGAGTGGGGCAGGGCCCAGCTAGCTGTTTAACACAGGCCTGCTGCTTTGAAAACCACTATCTAGAGAAAAAAAATCTGCTAAGGATGTGATACATTCTTTAGTAACTACAGATTTGACTCAGACAAGCCATGTTAAAATCAAAGACATGAGAAAAGCTCATGTGCATGTAACTACCTCATCTTCCCAAGAGTAAGAGTCTGGTTATAAATTAGTAGAAACTTCCCATGAATATCTGTTTGCCCGACCCCCAAGCTGAGAAATTTAAGCCCGATCACTTTAGATGTGAAACAATGAGATCTGTAAGTGCTTAGGATCGTCAAAGCCACTGATGTCCTATGATTCCACTAACTGTGGAATCCAATTCCTTGAGTGGATAAAGACCCAGTTCCTTCTTTCAAAGCATATGTCCTTTGGTTATGTCAGGAGACCCCAGAGCATATGCCCACAGATCTGCACTTTCCTAAATATGTCCAAGATGCCCTGGTGGATCCTACCTGATATCGTACTCAGAGCTCAGCTACTTTTCCATTCATCTGGGGCTTCTTTTACCATCCATACTGCCTTTATACGGGAGCACAGGACCTCATTATGTAGCCCAGGTTGGCCTTGAATTTGAGATCCTCCTGATTGCCAACTCAAGGCCAGCCTAAGCTATACAGTGAAACTGTCGTATTCCCCACCCCCCAAAAAATTTAGTAAAAATAAGATGAACCATTCAGAAAATAATTTGCTACTTAAAAATTGTAGTTAGGAGCTGGGTGTGGTGGTGCATGCCCATAATCCCAGCATTTGAGAGATGGAGGCAGGAGGTCCAGGAATTCAAGGCAAGCCTAAGGTTCATTGAGGTTTTGAATCCAGACTGCACTCTGTAAGACCCTCTCTCAAAAAAAAAAAAAAAAAAAAAAAAAAAAAAACTAAAAGAAAAGACAGGCAGAAAGAATGTAAATGGAATTTTATTTTTATTTTATGATTATTAAGTCTAAACATTAAGTGCCAGCCTAGCAAAGAGACACCAAGTCTTCTTGGCCTTCATCCCCCATCCATGCTGGGTTGTTCTCTCTTTCTGATGCAAAGCTACGCCAGCCCCAATCTCCCAGACGCTTTGAGCATAAAGCCTTGGCTGTGAGAGCTTCTCCACTGCTTCTTTCATCCATCCCCCTTCATTTCAAGCACGGCACAGCAGTGCAGAAAGTCTTCTGCCCAGAATCACTGTGCTCTTTCTCACCACCTGCAGCCAGCACCTGGCCCATTCTTGCCACTACTCCATAGTTGAAACCCGGTCCCTTTCCATAGACCTTTGCCCCTGCTGCCAAAGAGCAATCGCAGATGCTACTGCCCCTGTCAGAGACCAATCTCACCGAGCGATCACTGTGCACGCAGGTGCACATTTAAGCAACACAGGAAGGCGAGCACACCTGGGGCCTCAGACGTTGGCAATTCAGTTTGGAATGAGATTTTGCTTCGTGTTTGAAATTGTCATGTTTGCAAATGGCACCAAACACTGCCAGCTGCAAACCTCTCCTCTTTTCTTGTAATTTGATGACTTCAATTAATTCATAGTAATCATCCAAAAATGACTAAATCAGAAAATGATGCTTTCCTATTGGTGTTAATAATTGGCAGGGTGTGTAGAAAGGGAAGAGTAAGCATATATTGACTATTCTTATGATTTAAGATGATTGTTAATATAACGAACGTAGCCATTTCTTACCCAGAGCATTTAAGATGATTTATTAATGATTATCCTTTTCTAGTCTTCTTGCTTATGAAGAACTGTAAGAGCTGGAGAGGTTTCTCTGCATCTTTTACCATAAGCACCATAACATATGAGAACGTAAAGAAGACTGGGAAAGTAATGGTTAATGGCATGCAGATCCCTGCCTCCCTTTCCTTCTGCGTTTTTCACCCATCTGCTTTCTTTATTTTTGTTTTCCATCTGCCATCTCCTGTGGGTGAACACTTTAAGGAGTGACATTTCCTTTCTCTCTCACTGTAGCCAGACAGTTAAAGAGTCCTTAGTAGCTGACGTAGCTTGGCTGGACGTGCTGCTTATGTTGAAATGCTATGGACAGAGCTGAAGTTCCATCCAGCAGTGTGCTGCTTGTAGGGCGTGGTTTTCAGTCTTCTTAGTGGGGAAGGGGCAACTGGGAGACAATAACAGGTGATTTAGAGAACTTGACAGTGTTATTGTTACTGGAGAACCATGGTCTTAGGCTGGAGAGATGGATTAGTGGTTAAGAGCACTGGTTGTTCTTCTAGATGGACCTGGGTTCAATTCCCAGCGCACACGTGCATGCGCGTGCACGCGCACACACACACACACACACACACACACACACACACATACACATACACGCGTGCTCGCACGCGTGCACATGCGTGCGCAGGTCACAACTGTCTGTAACTCCAGTTCCAGGGGATCCGGCACCCTCACACAGACATACATGCAGGCAAAAGACCAATGCACATAAGAATAAATAAATCCTAAGGAGAGAGAACAATGGTTTCTGTGGTCATGTTTTGGTTTTAGGTCTTTTTTATAAAGACTCTTAGTTCTGGTCCCTGTAGTTTCCCAACAGGCACAATTTCATTTATAATATTTTGACTTTCCTATCTAAGACTTGGTATTCTTCAGTCTGAAGTGGTGAAATTAGTATTTTAGAATTCGGTCTTTCTGTTTAGTTTTAATTCTGTTTTGTTTAAGTCTCAGCCCCAAATACCATCTTTGGAACAGTTGAGTCTGAGCATACCTTGTTCTTGTTGGCTTTCTCTGACTAAGTGTTTATGGCTTAAGTAAGTGCCAGATCCTGAGAACCACATAAGCCAGTCTTGTGGGGAGCAATCAGTGTTATTCATTTTACCAATGGGCACCCCAAGAATCATGGGGATGTAATAATTTGTTCATGTAGCTTTCTATTGGCTGACTTGTCTCTAAATTGAAAAAAGAATCCTTATTTACCCATATGACAGCGAATGGTAACCAGTGTCCTCGTTAGCCCATCTTAACCCTTTCTAGTCAGATGACAATATTCCTCTGCCCTAGGTGCTTTAAAAATCATCATCATCCCTGATCCTAACTTCCCAAAACAAGTACTTTTACTTTTTTGCCTTTCAGAGTCATCTGGTTTACACTGTTTTCTCCTTTATTATATGTATGGTGCATGACTTTACCATATAAGGCAAACATGTGCCTTTGTTCTTCCTCAGAGTTTAACTGATATTGAAATTTGGAATGAAAATGAAAGGAATTTCTCCTAGTGTTTTGTTTGTTTTTTGAATGGTGAGATTGTTCCGGCTTCTTCTAGTCTTTGGTCAAACGTAGCGTGTGAATAGTACAGCTGGGTATATTAGGTAGTGGAGAGGCTGATTGGAGTTAATGTTTTAGGGGAGCTTTTCCATTCTGATGAGACTAGGGGTGTTAAGGAAGAGAGATGAGGAAACAACAGCTCTCCATGGGAAAACCTTTGCTTTCACTTCATTGTATAAACTGTCCTAGTGGAAGTCATTTTAAATCTAAACCAAGTAAGCCAGGTCAGGAGCCCTAGATCATTTATCTGGGCCTCTTTCTTTACTCTGCTTGGTTGTTATTCTCTGCTGTAAAGTCTACTCAGACTTTTCAGCATTCCTAGATTTCTAGTCAAGAACCACAACCTTTGGATGCTTTCTCCTTTTCACGTCTTCATGAGTGCAGGCTGGTCCTGATGTTGAGCTTCTTATTAAACCTCCTGCTTGGGGCATTTTGTTTGTGGTCATGCTGACAGCCCTCATGTTCCGCACTTACCAGAGGCTAGCGGTGCCCTTTCTAGCTCCAGGTTGCTGCATCCTTGAAAGTGTCCTACTTCCTGCATGCTGGCACAGAAGCAGACTATGTGGTGGCCGGGTAGAAATGACATAGTCACAGTATCTGCAAAGCTGTTTAGGGTTCTGTCTTTTGTTTGTTTTTCTGTCAAAAAAAGAAGAATTTTTCAGCTCCTGCCCAGGTTTATTCAGGAAAGCGTTGAAGAACACAACAAATGACTTCCACCTAGTAACAGATTTATACATGTCACCACCACGTCACGTTTTTCTTCTGTTCTCTATTTCTAAGACCATTTCCCCAGATGCTCTTTTGGGCAAGTTTTGCTTTCTTTAGCTTGTGTGTTTTCCTTTGTCCTTTGTTATTACTCTTTTCTTCTTCTGGATATGGTCTATCTTTTGATGTTTTTTGGGTTTTGTTTTGTTTTTGTTTTTTTCTCTTTCTTTTTTTTTTTCTTTCTATCTTTATTTTCTGAACCCATCTCCTGGTTCCTCGTTCCCTGCATGCCACTAACTATTTTCATTAGATATTAATTGATTTGTGAATTCAGGCTGAATTGCATCATCAGCAGATGGCGGATCCAGACCTGTTGGAAGAATCCTCATCCCTCTTGGAGCCAAATGAGATGGGAAGAGGAGCACCTTTACGACTTGGGTAAGTAGCACTCCAGCCTTGGTGAGTTTGTGTTCCTCTTTGATGTTCAAAAGAGCAGTGAGTGGTGCATGCATGTACCTGAGGGGAGCGTGCACCCCACAGGGGGTAGAGACAGGAAAACCATGCATTTGAGGCCAGCCTGGGCCATAGTGAGGTCCTGTCTTAAACCTCGGGCTGGAGACACTTGCGTGCATGTCAAAGCCTTGCGTCTAATTTTAGGCGGGTAGGGTGAGGGGAATCATGACTCTCAGGACTGATTTGCTCTAGGAGCCACTTCATTCTGAGCCATTGAGAGCTTTTCCTAGATTTGTCTGAGTTCAGTCCCTGGGTTTTCTGTCAGCCCTCTGTCGGGTGCAGAGATGAGGTCAGAAAGAAGAGCATGGCAGACATCCAACCCTCTTGACAGTACGGCACATGGTCTTACGTGCAGTGTATAATCTTTCCCCTCTCCCTCCCCCTCTGCCGCTTTGTTTTAAATCTCCTGGCCTGGGGTTCCCAATCTGCCCTACCCTTCTCCCCACAGCTTCGTGGCTGGTGTCATTAACCGGGAGCGGATCCCTACCTTTGAGCGCATGCTTTGGCGAGTGTGCCGAGGGAATGTGTTCCTGAGACAGGCTGAAATCGAGAACCCGCTGGAGGATCCTGTGACTGTAAGACAAGGAAATTGTGTCTTGTGGAGTAGGCCTAGCCCAGAGCAGTAGCACAGCATGGCGCCACCTAGGTCTGCCTTCATCAAAGGGGCCCTCACTTAAGACGCTTGAAGGCTCGCATCCCTCTCTCTAACTTAGCTCCTTCCATGTGTACCTATATGTATACATGACAAGCACATATTTTCAAACTTTACCTGTGTAGATTTTTTTTTTTTTTGTACATTTTCATCAGTTATTCTGAACCTTAGCTTTATGTGCTTCTTGTTACTAATCTGGGCTGGAAGAAAAATGGCCTTTTATGTAAATTAACATAAAATCAAGATACCTCATTCCAAATTTGGTAATATCATGCATAAAAAGATAGATTTCCTAAACCTTAATCTTTATAGGCTGATGAAAACTTTACTCTCAGGTTTTATTATCTGCTTGTTTCTTGGGAGAACCAGGAACTTAATTTTAAGCAGGGATACATGCAAGATGAGGGCCGGTGTGCCACGGGGACTGCGCATCACGCTTGCCTTGGTACTAGTTAGAAGCCTGCAGTTAGCTTGCCTTACAAGTGTCTTAAGGTAGTATTTTTTGTCCTGAGAGAAATTTAACTTGGAAACTTCTCAGCTCTGGTGGGTAGCACTCTAAGGCCTTTACCCCTCCTCACCGAGTAGGAACGTGGTGACAGTGTGACGCTTTAACCTCGAGGTGTAGTTTTTCAGGCTGCCTTGGGTTGTGGAAACATTGTAATCTGTAGCCCTTCTCAGGAGTGTTCAGTCAAATTTCCTCACCACAGAAATATTATTTTATCAACAAATCCAGGAAAACGGGGCGTGATATCTCTAGCAGAGCAGACTCACCAAGAATGGGCCCCAGTTTAGCCAGGAGAGTTAGGGACTGAGTGTCTAACTTTCTTCCCTCTTTATCTTGTGGTAGCCGTCTGGAGTTGTTTTCTTTCATAAAAGCAGTGTACACTGTGTAGGTGAGGCATTGTAGGCAACCTGAGGAAAGCTCGGTTAATTGCTCATCTGCTCATACCCATATGTATATGTATGTATGTATGTGTATATATATATATATATATTTTTTTTTTTTCTGATTTTTTCCTTGCCATCCTTGTACTTGAGGTGTGAGCTTAGCATTTGGGGTTGTCTGCCTTCTTGTTCCATAAAATCTAAGTTAGTACGGGTCTTGAGATCCAACACCATTTGCCAATGACTTAGTGCCTTGTATTCAGACAGGTCTTTTTATCTGGTTCTCTCTAAGCCCAGGAACAGACAGGCCTCTTTCTGTTTCTTCTCCTCTATGCTTTTGTCACCCCGGAAATACAAGAGTTCAAGTAGAACCAGAGAAACAAGCTCCACTGTGCTGAGCATCCCCTCAGCGTCTCGCTCAGGCTTCTGCTTATACCTGGAAACAGGAGGATATTTGTGAATCTGGAGTTACAGAAATGAAACTTAAGAGATGGAGCTGGGGTAAATTACAGAAGGCCTGATGCCACCCAGGTTTAGTTGTTCTAGAGCTTTTCAGCTAGACCTGTAAGCCTAGTTCTCAGGAGTCTGGGACTAAGGCTGTTGTGAGTTCAAGGCTACACAGTGAGTGCCAGGCTAGCCTGAGCTGCAGTGTAAGACTGTCTCAAAAGAAGTTTTCATCTGTATTGAAAAGTTCTAAACTCTTGTTTTTTTCTTCTGGGACCCAGGGTGACTACGTGCACAAGTCTGTGTTCATCATTTTTTTCCAAGGTGATCAGCTGAAAAACAGGGTCAAGAAAATCTGTGAAGGGTAAGAGATGCCTGCCCCCAACCAAGAGGCACAGCTATGGTGTCTGCTTACGGCTCAGAAAAGTGAAGTGCAGATTCTTGCTAGTTCTATTTTACACAGCGAATGACGTTAGGAATACTTTAAACCAGCAGGAGTTGCTCAGGCCTCACTTTTCTATCTCACTTTTCTATCTTACTTTGAGAGCACGAGGTGGTGGGCTCTGATCCCCAGGTGGTTGTGGCAGCCGGGACCCCTGGAGCAGGCTGGCTAATGAGGCTCACTCCTCGGGTGAACTCTGGGATCGATTGAGAGACCCTGCCTAAGTCACTAAGGTGGAGTGCAATCCCGGAAGACTCCTGGTGACAACCTTGGGTCTCCAAGACAGGCACACACACACATATGTATAGACACAGGCACTCTACACACGAATGCTCACGTCCCCACCCAAAACCCCCAGCAAACCCATAATTCCTTTATTCAGGGACAGTGGGTTCATATGCCAGTAGAGTGCCTCAGGCACTCCATAAACTTTCTGGAATTCTGTGTCACGGACAGAAATTTTTCCATGCCATTTTTCTGTAATAACGTATAATGAATATTGTTTTTTTAAATTATTTTTTCAACATTCTTTGGTAGGGATTATTTATTTTGTGTTTATGAGTATTTTGCCAGCATGCGTATGTATGCGCACCACACGCATGCCTGGTGCCCTTAAGACCGGAAGAGAGTGTCAGATCCCCTAAAACTGGAATTACAGGTAGGTGTGAGCCACTGCACAGGTTTTGGGAGCTGACCCTGGAGGCTCTAAAAGAGAAGCAGGTGCTCATAACTGCCGAGCCATCTCCCCAGCCCCTTACTATTTGTTTAATCTCGGAATGACTTCATAGCTGCAGAGACCATCCAGACTGTTCATTCACATAAGTGACTGATGTCGATTGTCACAACAGCCCAGTCTAGTGGTGTTTATCTTTGCTTTACGGGGGGGATTTAAGTTGAATCCACTAAGAAACTCCAGTGTTCCTAAAGGTTCCCGTACCTTCTAGGTTCCGGGCCTCCCTCTATCCCTGTCCTGAGACGCCACAGGAGAGGAAAGAAATGGCTTCTGGAGTCAATACCAGGATCGATGATCTCCAAATGGTATGTGGGACCGTGGGAACTGGACTTTGTCAAGGGCTGCAGGAGTGACTCATTCTCCTCCCCTGAACCCTTGACAGTTCACTGAGGCACCTGCAGCAGTTGGATACCAAAAAAAGAAATGTGTGTGGGTAGTAAGTCCCACTGGGAACTGCCGAAATCTCAGGACAGGACTGTTAAAAATAGCATTAGTCAGCCATCCTCCAACAAGGAAGGAATGCTATGCATCTAGAATTCTTATTGCTTACGAACAGTCCATTCCCCTCCGTTTCATAAATCTGAGATGTTTTTACAATAATATGGTTTTCTTTCTTTTTTGTCTTTGAATTTTCAAGACAGGGTTTCTCTGTGTGATAGCCTTGGCTGTCCTGGTCTCACTTTGCAGACCTAGCTGGCCTGAAACTCATAGATAGCTGCCTGCCTCCTCCTCCCAAGTACTGGTACTGGCATGTGCCATTCCACTATTTCCAGCCTTAATCTTTTTTTTTTTTTTTTTTCTGAAATGTGCTCCATTAAGAAAAAGAAAGGTCAGACAAGCCATTTCTGTCCTCACACACTCTCTTTTAACAGCATGATATATCTTCTGGTTACCTTTGATCTTAACCACAGGGTCCAGCCAAAGAGCCCAGAGTTGACTTTTGAACCCAGTTAGAGACTGTTAGATTTTTATCAATGCGCAATGCGAGAGTCATGCACACCATTGTCCTAACGGAGCTGTAAGGGAAGAGTGGTGAGCCGCGCATATTTGGAAGGAAGAGGTGACCAGGGAGGCTTGCTACTTTTTGAAAGATGAGTGTGGTAGTTGTTTGCTTTTCTTAAAAAATTAATAAGCATACCTCATCCTAAGGCCGTTCTTTGTAGCAGTGACATTGTCACAGATACATGTTGGCTCCCATTTCAATTCCTTTCTCATTTTACCTCCAGCCCCGCTGTATGTGACCCACCAGCTTGACCTGTTGCTGGCTCCTTTGAGATACACTTACCTCTTTAACTTGGGACGACAGAAAGTTGTTGGTTTTTGTTTTGTTTTGTTTTTTTAAAGAACTATTGGTGTGTAATAGAGGCCATTTTGACACATTATGGGGTCTAAGCCATTATACGCTCTTCTAGACTGATGGGTAGATTTAAGGAGAATGTGCAGAAGCCATCATAAATGACTAGAATTTGGCCTTTTAAAGTTCAGCTAGGGGCTGGCCAACTCAGTGACTTAGCAGGTAAAGTCATCAGCCACCAAGCTTCACAACCTGAGTTTGACCCCTTGGGCCCATAGAGCAGAGAGGGGATAACTAACTCCTGAAAGTTGTTCCTTTATCCCCCATCATGCACTTTGACACAAACATGCATGTACACACGCACACACACACACAATTTTTGAAAAGTTAAAAAAAAAAAAGTCCAGCTGTGACTTTTCAAAGGGAACGAATAAGGAGGGGTAGCATGGAGAAAGAGAAAGTCGAATAAAACATTGGTTGCAAATTCAAACGTTATTCAGATTGCACGTTAGGAAACTTCAGTGTTCTTAACTAAGGATGTCCTTAATTAATGCCCTGCATATTCCATATTCCATATTCCGAGCCTTACTCTCTCCCCGTCTTTCCAGTAGTTGCAAAGCACTGCAAAACAGTCACAAAATGACATGGTTTCCAAGCATGGTGGCACCTTTTTTTTAACTTACAGAAGACACCTCCTTTGTGCAGGACAGTTTTTCAGGGAGTAGCTGCTGCCCCGTGAGGGGAGGCTTTTCCCTTTACAGTTACTATGAAGCTTTTTCCTCCTCACAGAATGCAGAGATCTGTGAGACCCGTCTACAGAAGTATAACGGTGGGTTGTTGTGGTTTCCTCCAGTTGGGAGCTTAGCTTCATTTTTTTCAATTACATTTTTATCTCATCGCATTTATCGTAACGTGTGCGCTTATGCGCCATGGCGCACATGTGGAGCTCAGAGGACAACTGTCACCTCTTTCCGCCATGTGAGTCCCAGGAATGGGGCTCAGGTCATCAGGCTTAGTGGCAAGCACCTCTACCTGCTGAGCTGTCCATCTCACCAGCTCCCTAGCTTCCTGGAGCAGCCAAAGCCTTACATATTTGATGATAAACACGACGCGGGAATGTGGGCCGTCCCTGTCCCTCCCTCAACAGGGTTTCCAAAGGCTCAGCACAGAAGCCGTTTCCCGCCTACGTCAGCTTGCCACTCTTCAGTGCGGGCTTGTTCATTTCTAAGCGCCAGGGCCTGCTGCTGTCCACTGCCCACTACCCAAGTTCGGCTCCTGTGCAGAAAGTTGCCGACCATTTTTGTTTTTAAGATTTCATTTTGGCCAGGTGTGGTGGCACACACCTGTGATCCCAGCACTTGGGGAGGCCCTCTGGAAGAGCAGCAGCAGCAAGGGCTTTTAACTGTGAGCCATTTCTCCAGCCCCCAGAAAGTCAGTGACCTTAAACAATGCAAACCAAGCCAGGGGTCTAGCTATGTGGTACCTTGGAGTACTGAGAGAGAGAAAGCTAAACATGTGCAAGGCCCATCTCTAGCACTGTACAAACTCACATTTCCTGTAATTTGACCAACCCCTGCCACCCCAAACCCATAAAACCCCAAAGAATACACCGCGCTGGGGGGAAGAATAAGACTGTTCCGTGGCGGCTCTTTTTAGGAAGTGATGCCACTTTGCCATCCTGTCCTGTGATGGAAGACTTGTGTTGGAGAGAGCCCTTCCCCCACTCCTTCCTCTCCCAACAGGTTCTGAATCAAACAGAGGACCACCGCCAGAGGGTTCTGCAGGCAGCTGCTAAGAACATCCGGGTCTGGTTCATCAAGGTGCGGAAGATGAAGGCCATCTACCATACCCTGAACCTGTGCAACATTGACGTCACTCAGAAGTGCCTGATTGCAGAAGTCTGGTGCCCTGTCACTGACCTTGACTCCATCCAGTTTGCACTTCGAAGAGGCACGGTGAGTCTCAGCCAGCAGTGAATGTGGTGGGCAGGAGGAGAGCCTCCCATTAATCAGCTTCGGATTTAGGACGTCTTCGCTTTCCGAGTCCTTCTTGTGTTCTGAGAGTACGCTCTGTCTGCTGCCTGGGGGGATGGCTGTCTTTTACAGAGTAGAAACTGCAGCTCGGTGATGAAAAGGGATTTGGTCATGACAGTGCTTCCTCAGGGCAGACCATGCCAGACCATCAGCTTCCTGACTCACTCTGACTGCTCCCACTTGGTAGTTAGCTGCTTTCTTTTTGTTGTTATTGTTTTGCTGTAGCTTTTTTTTTTTTTTTTTTTTTTTTTTTTGAGACAGGGTTTCTCTGTAGCCTTGGCTGTCCTGGACCCACTTTCTAGACCAGGCTGGCCTCAAACTCACAGAGATCCGCCTGCCTCTGCCTCCCAGAGTGCCGGGATCACAGGGCTGCGCCACTGCACCCAGTGTATGTTTTGTTTTTCAAGACAGGGTTTCCCTGTGTAGCCCTGGCCATCTTGGACCCTGTAGACCAGACTGGCCTCGGACTCAGAGATGCACCTGCTTCTGCCCCTACAGTGCTAGTATTAGAGCATGTATGGCTAGTCCTTGCTACAGGAAGCCATAGTTTAATCTCCAGCACTGCATAAGCCAGGGGTGGTGGCATGTCCATGGGATTCCATCACTTGGGAAGTAACAGCGAGGGGATCAGGAGTTCAAGGTCATCCTTGGCTATCTAGTAAGCTTGAGACCAGCCTGGGCTACAGGAGACCTTGTTGTAACAAACAAAACCTCACAAAGCAAAAAAGAAAATTACTACAGACAAAGGCTAGAAGTACGGTGCAGTGGTACGTGGTGTTGGGTGAGAACAGGGTTTATAATGGTTTAGCTGAAAGAGTAGCCGCTAAAAGTGTACCACACAGACTGAAGCCCAGTTAGGGCCGATTTTCCCAAGGGTCCAAGATTTAAAATTTACAGCGGGAGGTTAGCGAGGCAGTGAGTTAAGGAGCTGTGATCAAAGCAGGTTTGAAAGTATGATCAGCAGATCATGACGAGCAGAGATCATGGCCAGTCATGAGACTGCTGTGAACATAAAGTTATCATTGATGAGGGCTGTAGGCAGGACTTGACAAACAAGATGGATTTGTGGACATTGTGAAGGGAAAATGAATAGATAGCCTCATATTTTATTAAAGTACAGGAAGAAGAATTAAAAATGGTTCCGAGGCACCAAAGCTGTGTGCTCCCGAGGGTTAAAGTTCATGGAAGTTGCCAGGCACAGTGGTGCACTCCTGTAATCCCAGCACTCAGGAGGTAGAGGTAGGATCTCTGTGAGTTCGAGGCCAGCCTGGTCTAAAAAGTGAGTCTAGGACAGCCAAGGCTACCCAGAGAAACCCTGTCTCAAAAAAAAAAAAAAAACAAAAAACCAAGGGGGGAAAAAAGTTCACGGTTTTGGGGCTCAGCAGGAGGAAGGATGGCAGGTTGAGCTGCAGTCACACCCAGGCCCTGAGCAGAAATCTACGAGGAAATCTCAAGCAGACAAAGGGACTAATATAAAGAGATTGGTGTGTTAGCAAGAGCAGAGACACGGAGACCTTAGGGATTATGCTAGAGAGAGAAATGAGTCCCTCGGAGCCCTGCAGTATCACTGGGTAGCAGAGGAAGAGCTGGTGTCTAGCTAGTCACTTCATGAATATCTTAGCTGGACCGCATGCCTTAGGGAAGGAAGAACAGGTGGGGAGGACGGCTAGAGAGTGTGTTTTGCTTTCTCTCAACCTGAACTCTTGAATTCAAGTAGTCCTTCCTTCCTCCTTGGCCTCCTGAGCATGCCTGGCTTAATGTTTTTCCACTATAATGATGTACTTCCTAAGAATTAATTAAAGCTCACTCATTTTGTTTGTTTATTTGTTTGCCTGCAAAGCAAACAGTCTGTTTGCTTTGTTTACTGCTGTTTTCACTTGTTGAGACCAGTTCTCACTATGTAGGGCAGGCTGGGCTTGAGTCTGGCCCCCTTGCCTCTGCCTCCTGGAGCATCTGGGAGCTCAGGCATGCACCTCTGCGCCTGCATCCAAGGCCCAACTGAAATCATCTGTTGTCAATTTTAGATCTAGCCCTAGTTTTCCTAAAGACTGAGAATGTATGTAATCTTGAATTTTCTGGTTAGTGTAATTGGAAGACACATGTGTTAAATGTGCAGTTTGAACTGTGATACATCGATGTGCATCTGTGTAGCTGTAAGAGCAACCGAATTTTAACACGTTGCTGATGTGTTCTAGGAACACAGCGGTTCCACTGTCCCCTCCATTCTGAACAGGATGCAGACAAACCAGACTCCCCCAACGTACAACAAAACCAACAAGTTCACGCACGGCTTCCAGAACATAGTAGACGCCTATGGCATCGGCACTTACCGGGAGATTAACCCAGGTGAGAGTCTCTCCGCCAGCAGGTGCGCCTCGTCCTCAGCCTATGGGCTGATGAGTGCAGCCCAGCACGGAACCACAAACTCACCTCATGTTTGGAGGGTGGGGTTTTTATCTCTCTCTCTTTTTTTTTTTTTTCTGGGATGTGGAGGTTGTTTGTTTTGTTTTGTTTTGTTTTGTTTTGTTTTGTTTTGTTGAGACAGGGTCTCACTGTGTAGCCCTAGCTGTCCTGGAACTCACGCTGTAGACCAGGCTGGCTTTGAATTCACAGAGATCCACCTGCCTCTACCCTCTCAGTGCTTCGATCAAAGGCGTGCGTCAGCACCGCCTGGCTTTGAGGTGTTTTGGTTTTTGGTTTTTGTAGCTTAATCATATAGCTCTCTAGTGCAAACTTTGTAAACAACAGCATTATGTCACAGGGACAAAAGATTAGGCATGTCTACCACTTTGTTTGATTCTTTTAATATTTTAAACTCCTTTGTTATTTTGTTTTGTTGTGTTTTGTTTTGTTTTGTTTTGTTTGAGACAAGGTCCTATCCCTTATCCCTGGCTGGCCTGCTACTTGTACTGTAGACCAGGTTGGCTTGCAGCTCACGGAGACTGATTGCCTCTGCTTCTTAGTGCTGGGATTAAAGGCGTGAGCCACCACACTTGGCTAATGCTTCACTCTTAAACTCTGTTGGACAACTGTTTTAAATATGTCGGCTAGTGCATAATTCCTGTGAAACGTGCCCCTTAGACACAAGCAGATCCATCAGTGAGTAATGCTTCACCAGGAGCTCATTATTGGGTTCCTGTATGTGTCCTCAGTGCTTGCTGCAAAATCCCTGACCTCTCAGAACAGCAGCAAAATGTTCACCTTTCATCCCAGTAGCAGAGGCAGGTAAACCTCTGAGTTAAGGTCCAGCCTGGTCTACAGAGTTAATGCTGGGCCTGACAAGGCTACACAGTGAGACTTGTCTCAAAACAAGCAAACAAGCAAGCAAACAAAAAACCCACTTGGCTTTGGAGGAACTACTTTAAACAAAAATGCTTATCAGGATGGCTTGTGTTGTAGAATGACTTCTTGCTCTCTGTTTTCAGCACATGTCAGGTCTCTCCTGTGTTCAGTTAATTATTGATTCAAGAGTCTTAGCATTCATTTTTAGCCTGCAGCCTTGCATAGGACTTGCTTTCCTCTGGGTCCAGGCTTTCCCCTATTTCCCAAGGGCTTAATCAGCTCAGAAATGGCAGCAGAGAGGCAACTGGCCTAGCCCAGAGTAGCGTCCCCAGGCTGGAGGAAGGGAGGAGAACAAGCAGCTACTGTTATCAGGACCCTCTGTTTCCTGTCATCCGCTTAGTGTGAAGTGTTAGCTGGAGCACACAGCCTGTCAGCTGCTTTGTGAGGCTGTGGACCTCCCCGTGATGTATTTCCCTGAGAGAGGGCCTATTCACCGGGGTGTGGAGGAATAAGCCTCCATATTGACCTCGGAGTCCAGGCAAGAACGAGCATGCGGGGATTCGTGCTTTTACTTACCTCATGGTTGTCTCTCGGTTTCTTTATAGCCCCGTACACCATCATCACTTTCCCTTTTCTGTTCGCTGTCATGTTTGGAGATTTTGGGCACGGCATTTTGATGACCCTTTTTGCCGTGTGGATGGTGTTGAGGGAGAGCCGGATCCTCTCCCAGAAGAACGAGAATGAGGTACCGTTTCGGTGACAACTGCACTGGAAGGGATGGTGTAATCTCAAGCATTTGTGATCAAAGTGATGATCTAAAAGTCCATGACTTTACAAAAAGGACTAGAAAGTTGTTTGAATATTGAAGAGGCCGTGAGCTGTACACATGCACTTCCCTTAGCATTCTTACCTCATTTGTGGTTCTGGGGCTGACCCTTGGGTCTCCCGGGGCCTAAGCAAGTGCTCTGCCATCGGGCTACTCCCCCCAGCCTTCTTAGCCTTATATTTTGAGCGTCAGTTCAAGCTTTCAGAACCAGGATGGGATGGGCTGCTGTATTATAAGTGACATTGCCACCACGGAAGCTGCCATGCTGTCTGTCCTCTTGTAACTCCTTTGTTCCGGCCCCCAGATGTTTAGCACCGTGTTCAGCGGTCGCTACATCATCCTCCTGATGGGACTGTTCTCCATCTACACTGGACTCATCTACAACGACTGCTTCTCCAAGTCTCTGAATATCTTTGGGTCATCATGGAGTGTCCGGCCAATGTTCACTCTAGGAAACTGGACGTAAGTTACAGAAGCCAAAAGCCAAAGCTGATCCCTTACGTGTTCAGCTCCAGCGTGTAGGGCAGGTAGTAGCCTGACAGCCTTTAGGAAGGAGCTGAGAATGCCCGTGTCGGAAGGGTGTGCTGTCTCCTCTCATTTACGCTGCCGTCGGTGAAGGGCTAGATGATCTGTTCAGCGAATGTCTGGGATCTGAGCCTATAAACTAATGGATCTATTTATTGGTTTGCAAATTAAAAGCAGGTTACCCAAATTCCTTCCTTAGTTATGTATTAGTACTTAATTGTTCTTTGCGCTTGATTCCCTCTTATTCTTGGCCACTATTTCCCCCTTTCTTCTTTTTGCACAAGTGTGTAAGTGTGTTCCCTTGGGTAAAGGTGCATTTGTGTGTTTGCACACAAGTGTTGACACTGCTTGTCTTGCTAGCTGATCTCTCCCTCATACATCAAGGCTTCGGGGTCCCCTCCTGAACCCAGGGCTTGCCATTCAGCTGGGCCGGTTAGCTAGCTTGTCTGTCTCCTCCTCCCGCCTGGCCTTCAAGCAGGTTCTGTGGCTCTAAGCACTAGCTGTCACGCGTGCCAGCTAGGCAAGTCATCCCACCGAGCCATCCTCCCAGCCCTGGTTTCATCCTTTCCATTGAGGAATCGAGATACCCCCAGCAGTGTCTTTTGTGCTTAGCTTTTAGACCTAGTTTTTCCCTCTTCTCCGTCAAAAATACATTTGACTTTTCCTAACGCAATAGAGAGGAGACGCTTCTGGGGAGTTCCGTGCTCCAGCTGAACCCGGCTATCCCTGGAGTTTTTGGTGGCCCGTACCCATTTGGCATTGATCCGGTAAGTGCGCCTTTTTCCTACATGTGGCCTTTAAGAACTATATATTTATTTTATGTACATTGGTGTTTTGCCTACATGTATGTCTGTGTGAGGGTGTCAGATCCCCTGGAACTGCAGCTACAGACCGTTGTGAGCTGCCATGTGGGTGCTGTGACTTGAACCCAGGTCCTCTGCAAGAGCAGCTAGCGCTCTTAACCACTGAGCCATCTCTCCAGCCCCAGGACTTGAACTTTTTGGTCTTTCTGCCTTAGCTTTGAAGTTTTTACTGATCTTGAAATGAGAGGCTTAAGGTGGAAATAACTAAAGTGGACACCTGTAATCCCAGCACATGGGGAGCTGAGGAAGACAAGATCACTCGAGTATCAGGCCAGCTCAGGCCATGCGGTGAAACCTGGTCCAAAAAAACCAAAAACCAGTAACAACAAACAAAACAAACTCAAAAACTAACTAAAAATTAAAAATCAAAACAGGAGCTGCAGCGATGCTCAATCAATAAAGTGCTTGTTGTGTGAACGTGAGGACCTGAGTTCAGGTCCCGCCACCCACATAACAGCTGGCATGCTGGCCACTGGCGGAATGAGTGAATGCTGGGATCAGTGAGAGACCCTGCCTCAAAAAGTCACATGAAGAATGACTAAGGAAAACACCCAGCGTCAGCCTCTAGCCTCATGTGCATCTGTTCACATAGACATAGGCAAAGTATTGTTACAGTTTAAAAAGAAAATTAAGGACCTACACAGATGGCAACTCTATGAGAGGTCCCGAGGTCAATTCCCAGCAACCACATGGTGGCTCATGACCATCTATAGTGAGATCTGCTGCCCTCTTCTGGCGTGAAGGCACATATGCAGGCAGAACACTATACATAACAAATCTTAAAAAATTGAAGAAGTGAAGAAATGTTGAAAATCATAGTCTTGTTTTGTTTTTTTTTCTAATGTTTATATAAGGATTTCTGTTCTTGTGGAAGTACGATGGTATAATTATGGGAAATAAGTAAGGTTTTTCCATCATCATTCCTCAGCATATAAGTATCAAATGAGTGTCTCTTTGGGTTGTGTTGTATGATGATGTTTTGGGTTTTTTGTGTTAGAATAGATGGAACCCAGGATCTCAGGCACTCAAGGCAAGCACTGTAACCACTAAGTTATGTCCCCAGCACAGAATGTTTGAATTGGCTGCCTTGAGTTCATTTAAGGTGTGAGGGGAGGAAGGCTTTGTAATTAATCTTGCAATAACTAAATACACTTCAGCAGTTTCATACTGTATACTTCTGCAGAGCAGCATCCTAGTGACGATAATTATAAAGTTATTTGTTGTTATAAAGAAAAATGAACATTCCAACTGTTCTATTTTATCAATAAAGACTTGGGAGCCAGATGCTGGGGTGAAAACCTGCTAGCTCAGAGAGTCAGATAAAGCACTCACTGACCTTCCTTCTCAGCTCACATCCGGATGGAAAAAACCCAAAAGGCTCACTAGCTCAGCTCACAGCCCAAGAGGAAAAGGCGAAAACCCAAGGCCAAAGCTTGCTAGCTCAAAACCCAAAAAGTCAGGAAGCTGAGTAGCTGAAGCCTAAGCTAAAGCCAGGGCTTTAGCTAAAAAGCCTTTTCTATGTCTCTACATTGTCTTAAATTACCCCTCAACTCAAAGTCCCTCCTACTCTTTAATCTTTGTCAGCTGGTTTCTAGCTCCACCTCTTGACCTAGGGTTAATTTTATTAAATCCAGTATACAGAAAGCTCTTGGATTAAAGGTGTATGCTAGGGCTGGCTGAACCACACCATAATCACCTGTTTACAGTAAACAGGAAGTTCTTGGATTAAAAGTGTATGATAGGGCTCAACCACACCAAACAAGACACAGGGTTTTACAGTTCACATTTTTGGTGTTCACAATGCCATCAAATATCCTGCAACAGTTATTAAGAAAGTCAGAAAAATGTTGAAGATGCCTGACACCATACAGTATCAAATATTCAGCCAAGATCAAATTCTTTTGTTTGTTTTTTTCAAAACAGGGTCTCACATAGCCAAGGCTGGCCTCAAACTCAAAATGTAGTGGAGTATAGCCTTGAACTCCTAATTCTCATGCTTCCACATCATAAGTGCTGGACTTATAGCACTAGATAAAGATTTAATTCTTTTTATAAAAATAACCACACCCAACTCGTTGCTATATTAATTTGCTTTCTTCTTGAATAAATGAGGAAAAATGTACTGCTAAGTGGAAAAAGTTTATGAAACCTTGATTTAGACAGTATGCCTTTTTTTTAAAAAAAAGATTTATTTATTGTGTATACAGTGTTCTGCCTGCATGTACACTTGCGCTCCGGAAGAGGGCACCAGATCTCATTGTAGATGGGTGTGAGTCACCATGTAACCACACTGGGAATTGAACTCAGAACCTTTGAAAGAGCACCAATGCTCTTAACCTCTGAGCCACCTCTCCAGCCCTAAACAGTGTGTCTTGATGGCTCCATAAGGGCAAAAACAAACAAACAAACAAGAACCCAACAGTTAGCAAGAATTCTTAGATGAGCCAGGCAGTGGTGGTGTACGCCTTTAATTCCGGCACTTGGGAGGCAGAGGCAGGCAAATCTCTGAGTTAAAGGTGAGCATGGTCTACAGAGAGTTCCAGGACAGCCAGGGCTATCCAGAGAGACCATGTCTTAAAAAAACAAAACAACAACAACAACAACAACAAAAACAGTTCAAGGCTCCACTACGTTTTGAGTTTGAGGCCAGCCTTGGCTATGTGAGATCTCCCGTTTTGACAATTACATGACAAAAGCTATGCCAGGTAATAGGGTTTTGTTTTGTTTTGTTTTGCTCTTTGTTTGCCTTTATTTTTTTATTTTCTGTGTCTGGTGTTTTGTCTCCATGTATATCTGTGCATCACATGTATGTGTTGCCTGAGGAGGCCAGACATTGGATCCCCTAGGACTGGAGTTATAAAAGGTTGTGAGTCACTCTCTGGGTGCAGAGAATTGAATCCAGGTCCCCTGAATGAGCAACAAATATTGCTGAACCACTGAGCCCTCTCTCTAGCCCCGTCATGGTGACACATACCTGTAATCCCTGCACCCTGGGGAGATGGGGCATTTTGAAGGCTGAGCTCCACAGGACAGCACTTGCCTAGTACAGACAAGATGTCTAAAGCCCTGGTTTCACACACTCACACACACACGTACACAAAATCGCTGTTGATACTTTCAGGACATGATGACTGCATTATAGTTGTGTTTTTAAAAGAAGTCCTTACCTTTTAGAGATCCGTACTGAAATATTTGTAAGTAAAACACTAGGCTATTTCAGCTTTGTCTGAAAGTAATATGGCAATGGGAAGAGAGTATGCCGAAACTAGGTTGGCCTGAGTCTTTAAATTGATAGGAATGAATCCAGACATGGTGTCTCTGGCCTTTAATCCCAGCGCTTGAGAAACAGGTGAACCTCTGAGTTTGAGGCCAACCCAGTCTACAAAGCGAGTTCCAGAACAGCTAGGGCTATTACACACAGAGAAACCCTGTCTCAAAACAAAATAAAATAATATAAACTGATAGGGATGATCAAAGCTGGCTGATAGGTACATAAACGTTTCTTTTGGTATTATCTTTATTTGAATAAATTGTTTTGAATATTCCGTAATAAAAAAGGTATCTTTTAGGCAGGTGGACAGTGCTTTTCCACTTGAGAATTTCTTTGTGTGGTACCTTCTAGTTTTCTTTCATTGTAACAGATTTGGAACATCGCAACCAACAAGCTGACCTTCCTCAACTCCTTCAAGATGAAGATGTCTGTTATCCTTGGGATCATCCACATGCTGTTTGGAGTCAGCCTGAGCCTTTTCAACCACATGTGGGTTCCTCTGCCCCTGACACCAGACAGCTGCATTAGGCAGAAACACTTTTGCCTAAAGAAATCATCACATGTTTGGAGAGGAATCAGTAACTCAGGACCTCAGTCTATATTGTAGAAGCAGTCTATAGCATACAAACTTCGTGGTCTCAAATGAGGCTTCATATTAATTTCTTAGCTATTTAGAGGTACAAAAAAAAAAAAATCTTTTCCTTTTTCCTTGCAATTTAGTGAATTCTTTTGTTGTTTTTTATAATTGACCTCGGCCTTGTACCAGCCAGGCAGACACTACCATGGACGTAGGCCCCAAGCCTAAGTAAATTCTTTTTTTTTTAAATATATATTTATTGAGTCTTGAATTGTGTGTATATGGGAGGGTGTGCACACACGTGTAGGTGCCCATAGAGGCCAGGGGCCTCAGATCCCCTGGGGCTGCAGTTAGAGATGGTTGGGAGCTGCCTGGCATGGGTGCTGGGAATTTGAACTTGGGTCATCTGCAAGAACAGTAAGTGCTCTTAACTGACAAGCCCTCTCTCCAGTCCCACTTCTTCCTTGATGTGCGACACATACAAACTTACAAACTGTGTCCATGTACTAGATTTTCTGAGTACTTTCTCAGACAGTGGTGGAGGGGGTTTTGGAGCTGCTCCAGGCCGAGAAGTATGGAAGTGTAGTTTCTGTTGTCTCCAGTGCTCTGGTTGCTGATTAAAGTGGTCCGAACAGAGCTGAGGGAGCAGAGTGTAGAAAAATCTAGCAAGCTCTCCCTTCAGTGAAGGGCTGCCATAGGCCTGTTCGCTCTTAATACCATTTTTCTCTTTTCCTTCTTAGCTATTTCAAGAAGCCCCTGAATATTTACTTTGGCTTTATTCCTGAAATAATCTTCATGGCCTCCTTGTTTGGCTACCTGGTCATCCTTATCTTTTACAAGTGGACAGCCTACGATGCCCACTCCTCTAAGAACGCACCGAGCCTCCTGATCCATTTCATAAACATGTTCCTCTTCTCCTACCCAGAGTCTGGGAATGCAATGCTGTACTCTGGACAGGTACGTCAGCCCAGAAGACAGCTGTTATAGGTGGCTATCCAGGTCAAAGAGCCCCGTGGAACTCTGACCCGAAGAAAGCCTAAAAACACTGTTTTTAGTTTTCATAGTATGTAGTATGAACCATATAGTCAAACCCCTCCCCCGTCCCTCTTCGCTGGGGAGGGTTCGCTGTGATTCCCCACTATAAAGGATAAAATTTGTAGGGCTGAGTGCCACAGGCCTGTAATCCTAGTACTGAGAAGGCTGAGGTGCAAAGGTGCCAGAGATCGAGACAAGCCTGTACCACGTAGTAAATTCCATGCCAGGGTGAGCTACATAGCGAGATCCTGCTCAAACAATTAGATGAGAAAGAGGGGTCAGAATATACAACTACCATTTTATGGAACACTTACTAGCTTTGTCATGGCACCTGCTCATTAGAGAAACCATGTAATATCAATAAAAAAAAAATTGTTTGGGAGAAAATTTGTGCTGTCGTTGGCAACAGTCTGTTTGACTAATGGACTTTGTGATGTACATTGTCTCTTACTTTGCAGAAAGGAATTCAGTGTTTCCTCATAGTGGTGGCGATGCTCTGTGTCCCTTGGATGCTGCTGTTTAAGCCACTGATCCTGCGCCATCAGTATCTGAGGAAAAAGCACTTGGTGAGTATGCAATGGCTGAAGATCACCAGCCACTTCCCTGTTTAAGATTGAGGCGGTCCCTCGGAAGATGTGATTAACTGCACACGCGCATGTATTCTTAGAATGCATTTGTATTCACATGAGCATGAACGCCGGGCCTGCCAGTGTCAGAGAACTCCGTGTTTGTCGCTCAGACACGTGGATTGGATTTACTCCTGCTCTCAGCAGAGTCCAGGCCTGGGCCTGTCCAGGTGCAGCGTCAGCCAAAGCCAGGTTAGGAGGGCTGCAGACTGCGAACTCACTCATGTGGTTTGCCTCGGCAACCACAGGACTGACACGAAGTCATTTTTCTTTTAAGATGAGACTATGACACTTTCACCAGCCAAAACACCTGATTAAAGCCCACTGGTTTTTATTTCTTCCCTTTTAAAAAGCAGAATACGCACATACAGGTGTTTCCTTATCGTTATGTGTGTGTGTGTATACCAACTCTGCACTCATACACACGAACTTCAGCTTGCCAAATGTTCAGTACTGCGTGTAATTTCTGGCTATCCGACAACGCTTACCTACTGCACTGCCTGGGAAAACCCAAGAGATCTTGTTGCATGATTCCCATGGCTGTGTGATGATCCCTCCCGTTGGAGAGCAGCTGAGTTACGAGATCCTCCTTCTCCCTTCTCTGGCCATCTTCATCCTTCCATGTGCCCTCCATTCATCTCTCCTCCCCCCCCACCCTCCCTGTCCCTCCTTCGTTCTCTTCTCCCTTCTTCTTTTCTCCCATTCACTATCAGGAAGGGCAACCCGTGGAGGCCCCAGTCACAGCAGCCCCGAGCCAGCAGGGACTAGAAGCAGCATCGGCTGCAACAGTGAGTCAATTACCTCCAGCAAAGCAAAACTGTTTGTTTAAGGAGGTGGCAAACAGCGCAGCCGAGTTCTTTCTTAAGGCCGTTGGGAGCACGGGACGCGTGCTCTCAAGAAGGGTACCCTTGTCGCTCACTGAGATGATCACAGAGGAGCCACCCACCTCTTAGGAATAGATTCAGGTATCATCTTTCCACCGGCCTACTAAGTTTCTGTTTGGATGTGTAAGTACAATCCTACCCTCGGGAGCAGAGTGGCTGCTGCGTCCCCGGCTTCGAGTCCCATCGTCTTACTCCAGGACAGCAGCTTTTGGCCTCCTCCACTTCTGTGTCTGTATTTTGTGGCCGTGTCTGGGGTGAGTTTTCAGCATGGAGGCAAGAGGGGCTCAGACTCTTCATTGATGATTCCGTACTTCAGAGAGCCTTCAAAGGATACTTGGCCGTGAGTTTTTGGTGTTTTCAGCCATGACTTGCCTTCTTGAGAGGTCTGCATCTTTTTCCCTTCCTGGGACGCAGAAGCCCTTATGTGCTCAGCTGTTTTTCTGAGGCCTCCCCTCTCACGTGTCTTCTGTGTGCTGCACCTCTGTCATAGCAACCAGAGGCATCTGCTGGACCATCCCCTCTCCTAATACTAACTTGCGATTCAGTAACAGCACTTTGAATGTCAGGCATTTGAGCATTTGTTCTCAAAAAACAATCTTCTTACCAGAATCTTCGAATGCACTAGTGTCTGTGTAATCCAGTCACCATTCTAGATTTTCAATCCCTGTGGTCAGGATATATGCTTTGTTAGTGTATACTGCTTTAAAGAAAATGGGTGTTTATGCCAGATGAATCTTTTAACTTTGCTATTTCAAATTATTCTCAAGTAGGGGCACATACTGCCCAGCATTGATTTTTCTTTCCATGTAGTTTTCTTGCTGCTCTCTCGGCTTTGTGCGGTTCACTGAGTTCTCAAGGCCTTTAGGTACGGCGCCATCTTCCATGATAAGCTCCACAGTAGACCCCTCCTCGTCTGGAAGCTTTCACATTCTTGGGCTCTGCTCAGCCATGGGTTCTGTAGAGTAGCCCAGCAGTCAGGATGACCACCCTCCCAGAAGGACCCTTTGACACAAGAGGCTGAGGCTGTGAGCACAGATGTGCTTCTGCTCTGCTTGTCTCCTCAGTTGTCTCTGTAAGTGGTGCTCTCAGAGTCCGGCCTTTCCTTTGTCTTAGCCGATGTGCTCTCTCATCTCCTTCCGTAACTTGTTCTCTGTGCTCTGTAGGGTGTTCTTATTGTGTGGCTAGGAGGCCTAGCCTGTCTGTCTCATCTCTTCTGCTGGCTAGGGAAACCTCCAGACATGGCCTGTGTTTGGGGAATTTAGAACTCTGAACTTTTCCTCCTCTATCCTGTATACAATGTATCTATCCTCCAAGATACAATGGAGTCTCCTGTGAGCCCTTTGTCCTCCTTCTGAAGATGGCTAGGTGTCATTTGTGCCCAACCTAGAAGTGCTTAGGTTTCAGTAGTTCCCAAATCTGAGTGCATATCAGAATCACCTGGTAAACTATCTGGGTGTTAAAACAGAAGAGTGGAAGAAAAAAAATAAAGTGGCCCATAATTCCATGACCCCACTGATCAAAGGAAAGAAAGACAAACAATACAGAAAGAAAGAAAGAAAGAAAGAAAGAAAGAAAGAAAGAAAGAAAGA